GTCTATATATATATATATATAGACCAGAACATCTCAACAAAGTTAAAAAACTAAATAAATAGAAGGGCAAGAGAAGAAATAAAAAGTATACAAAAATTACTTTTCTCTCTCAAGTGAATTATCATGAGTTTTTGATCAATTCCATATGAGCTCAGCAGGACAGATAATAATCATTTGAATATTTTATTTATTAAGTGTTTCTCTTTTGTGATAAGCATACTTAGGTTTTTCAAAATAATAAATATTATATTTGTTTCTGTTTAATTTTCATTGTGGTCTTACGATTTATAGTTCAGATCAGTGACAGTTTTATTTTGTTTATCATATTTAAAAATGCAGGCTGGAAGGTCTACATGAAGCATTCAGCTATGAATTGTTTAAAGCCCAGGTTACAGTTTTTTGTTTGTCTTATTTATTAAAACAGGATATAAATAAAAACTAACCAATACTTACTCGTTGAAATGTTTCTTTACTCATATCTGCACACAAGTTAAGGAAACCAGAGGAGTCTAAAAACACTACTTCATACAGGGAATGGAATTCTTCGATACATCGTTGGCTGTCTGACACATCATTACACAGTGTTATACCTTGACTACACCAATCTGCCTGGGCTACAAAACAACACATCATTACAAAGTGTTATACCTTGATCACACCAATTTTAATCATCCTGGACCACAAAACAACACATCATTACAAAATGTTATACCTTGATCACACCAATTTTAAACTTCCTGGACCACAAAACAACACATCATTACAAAGTGTTATACCTTGATCACACCAATTTTAAACTTCCTGAACCACAAAACAACACATCATTACAAAGTGTTATACCTTGATCACACCAATTTTAAACTTCCTGGACCACAAAACAACACATTGTTACAAAGTGTTATACCTTGATCACACCAATTTTAAACTTCCTGGACCACAAAACAACACATCATTACAAAGTGTTATACCCTGATTGCAGATGTTACAGAGATCAAGTAACTGTGTGCTAGATATATCCATGAATTACCTCAAGCAAACTTACCATCGTCCACAATGATTTATTAAGGCAAACAGACGATAAATTTCAATAGCTTGACATACACAAAAAGTAGACAAATTAGTCTTTCATCCTCTACCATAGTTTCATTACTTTGAGGATAATATGGGTAATAATTTTTTACCGTTTTATTACAAATTGTATTATGTAACATTCTATTACAGTTGCACTTACATAGTGAAAGCAGCACAGTTCTTAAAACCTGGTACGAACTCATTAGTGAACTGACCCTCCGAACCTTCAACAAGTATGCCACAAACATAGTCATGATGAACCCACTGAATCCTCCGTGTATCTAACAAAGAACATAAAAATTTCAGTATATATCTAATGAAGAACATAAAATATTCAGTATATATCTAATGAAGAACATAAAACTTTCAGTATATATCTAATGAAGAACATAAAACTTTCAGTATATATCTAATGAAGAACATAAAATATTTAGTATATATCTAATGAAGAACATAAAACGTTCAGTATATATCTAATGAAGAACATAAAACGTTCAGTATATATCTAATGATCATAAAGAAATGGTACACTTGTGACATGATCAAAACCATGTAGTTTACAAAACCTGATTCTTATAGTTTCAAACCCATGCATGCCTGAATCTGTAAAGTTGGGCTTCTCGATACACATGTGGTTTTGACATAATGGTGACAATCAATTAATACATATGGATATCAATATTGTTTTCTTGTAAACTTTGTCAATTTGGATTGGACAGTTGAGGTAAAATATTATTAAACAGTACTCTTACCTTTTGTTACTAAAAATAACATTATTTTAAAGCTGCAATATTTCTACCAAAGTAACTTCAAACAAAACACAGAAATATTAAAAAATTAACAATTATAAAGTAATCCTAGTCGTTATCAGGTGTATTTTAAAGTCAAAACTGGCAAGTAAGAAAAAATAATACAGTAAAGCACATGTATTAATTTTGATAAGATTATTAACAAATCACATGAACATCATTTTCATCAGGCCAATCTGTTAGGTATAAAATCAGGAGTATAAACCTGAAGTTACAAAGAATACAGATGTAGATTAAAGTCAACAAAAGTGGCGATATATTTTTCTCGAGACTTTGATAGTCATTACGAACTGTATTTGCAGAAAGATTAAAAAACAACACATATATATATATATATATATATTCCAGTACATACTTTTTATATAAATATACTTATATTTTGTTAGTGAAAAGCTACAAAATGAGCTATCTGTGCAGTATTCAAGATAGAGATCAAAACCAAATTATAAGTCAACAAACTTACCACTGAGCCACCAGTGGACTAAAAAAAGCACTAGAATCTTTTTTTAAGCAAAGTCATATTAAATGTATATAAATTACAAAAAAATTAACCAAACAAACTTCAAAAAAACAAACCACTTCAGACAAAAGATGTATCAGATTTTGTACTACTGGTCTATTGTTAAAGAAATACAAAAAGCATTTGCATAATACAACAGAATTACACCCACCTTATCCAGATGTCTTTGATGAAGCCAAACTTTCAACATCAGGATGGCATCACATAACCCTGGGGAACTTCCCAATTTTTGGTACAAATACTCTAAATTTTCAACCATTTTTAAATCTCTTAAAACACTAGCATTGTAATGCGGTGTGGGGACATCTTCTCCTAGATAACATTTAGAAGAAATGTGTTTGAAAATTAAAACATTAACAAACATTTTCTTTGATAAGTGATTCTTATCACAATACAACAGAGCATGTCGATGCAAAAAAAAAGCAGCTCTGAAACAAAAGTATCTTAAGATTCAGTTATTTAATAAAACAAGTGTTGAAACCCGATATTTTATTTAACTTTTAAGAAAATATAAAGTCTGGAGCCTTGCAAAACGTGTAGTTATTAATAGAACATTTTTCTGTGCAGCATATTGAGTCAATCACTATACACCACTAGTTTTATATACATTCTATTCAAAGAAAAAGATCATCGTATTAGAAATCAACAGTTATGGTCCGATCCACATACTTCAAGATTTAGCGTTTTTACTTTTACTACCCACAGACTTCAAGATTTAGTGTTTTTACTTTTACTATCCACATACATCAAGATTTAGTGTTTTTTACTTTTACTACCCACATACTTCAAGATTTAGTGTTTTTACTTTTACTACCCATAATTATATAACATTCTTGACAAAAAAACAAATTTTAGTGACCTATTTTTAAAAAATCTAACATCTCCAAACTATTGGAAGAATTTCAAAAAGTAATAATTTGTCACATTATCAAAAATCAAATACATTTAATACTTCTATCTGTCACAGAAAAATTACTATGTTTATAATAAGAAAGCACACTCAACACACTGAAATATGAGTACATGGACAGAAAGGTGTGAATATACACATCATAATTATGAAAGCTAACATAATTATTTATCTCATTCGGCTCACGGTTTACAAACACGAACAAGACAAAAGAATTACAAGAGTTCTTCATAACACCACATTTTTAACATTTGAACATAAACATGTTTTATATTAAGTATTTGCTAGAGGACAATTGATTCTTGAAGAAAAGGAAATCTTTCATAAAGTTTGTTTGTTTTAGGGCAAAGCCACATTGAGCTACTTACCGTGTACAAAGTGCAGGGAATCAAACTCTGTTTTTTTAGCATTGCAAGTCTGTAAACTTACTACTGTCCCACCAGGGGACCTCTCATTAAATGACAATCTCAATAAAAGTCCATTGTTTTATTCTCACTAAACTACTTTTGAATCCCTCCTCTCCAAAAAATCTCTTATGTTATATTACTTCAGTTTTAAGTTGGTACGCAATATTGAAATAAGTATGATACGTCTGATAAGTATGATATGTCTCAAGGAGTAAACTGAGCTTGAAGCAAGATCAACAAGTTGAAGCACTTAATAAAGAAAACTGTGTAGATGTGTCAAATTAAATAATTCCAAAGTGCAATTTTAAATTAAGATAAAAAAAGTCCATAAAACATCTGAAAATGTTGATGTAAACTTTTCTTCATTCTAATGTAGAAGAGATTTTAATTTTAAAAAATCAGGTTATTGTTTTTTTTATTGATTTAAAATTCAGTCATTGTAGTCATGTCCCAAGAACCATAAAAAATATCCTAATGATGAATATAAAGCTCTTATTTGAAAATTCATATTCCTATATAATAAAAAAACATCCAATTTTAAGATTAATTTTGAAATATTCGTGCCAAGTTATGTGATAAATTTCTATAAACTGAAAATACTTTCATAAAAAAAAAAGAAAACTTACTAAGGGTAGAGGACGATCCAAAAAACCAAGAAGGCCTGACATTGTTTTTCCTTGGTAAAAACCTTGACAGTTTGAAGTACTCCATGGGAGGATGAGGAAGCAAGCACACGGTGAATGGTTTGTCTGTAAAAAGAGGCATAATTTACTGAAGGTGAGGTTAGATATGGCTCGATCGTTAAAACCCTGGAAACTATTTATGAAATGTTAGATAAAACTTAAGTTAAAAAGTTCAACAAAATACAGTATAACAAATAGAAAACTTAGATTATTCTTAATCAGTGAAGAAAC